AGCAGGGTGCTAGAGAGACTTGGGTTTTTGGGTTTGCAATTAGAGAGAGAGAGAGAGAGAGAGCAAGGGAGTTGGGTCATGGGTAAATAGCGAGAAAGCTGGGTGTGGGGGTTGCACGGGTGAGTGAAAGCTGCACTTTCATCCGAAAACTTCAATTCAAACTTGAATTTTTTTGAACGATAGCTTTTGCCTTGACACTAGAGTTTTTTTTTCTTTCAACCTAAAAATCTAGCAAAATCTTGCAGTTATCCAAATGGTTCAAAGTCCGTTTCACAAGATTTTTGGATTGCAATCCAAAAATATTCCAATTTTGGGTGCATCCAAACTGGCACTTAAAGATAAAAAGACCTTGCATTAAATTTTAATTTTATAGCAAGAAAACTTCAAAATCAATGGAAGAAGGATTAGATCTTACTCAATTGAAGAACTTCTTGGTTGCTAGATCATCCATGGCTTTAATTGAGCTTGAATTGATCACCAATGGAGCCATCAATGGATCTTTCTCTCACGAATTGATCTCTCACGTAACTCAAGTTTGATCTCACGGAGGAAGAGAGAGAAAGAGAGGAATTGGCTTGGGCATACCACACTAGGAGATAGAGAGAGAAGCGTGCCACTTAGAGAAACTATGAACTCAATTGTGTAGGAATGAATGCGTAAGGGCGTATTTATAGGCTTTTAGCCACCAAGTGTATGGATGCTTATAGATAGATGAATCTAGGCCTTCCATGTCATCATCCTATGGCTACAAAGAGAGACTTGATCCTTGCCCACCATCCATCATCATGCCATCTTGATGTGTGGCATGGATTTAAACACCTTTATCCTCCTTTTTAAAACACTCCAAATTCCCCTTGTATAAAAATACCCTTGTTCTTTCCAAATAATTGAATTTAAAACCTAGTTGGAGGGCATACCCTTGAGGTAATTAGGCATAATTCCAGCAAAAATCAAATTTAAAATTTTTCCTCCATTTTGAAAAAGCAAGGCCAACCAAAAGATGCCACATGTGCAAGTTGGTTAAGTACACAATTAGCACATGCTCTTAGGGTTTAGATTGAAATATCAAACCCTATGACCCTTCTAGAAGGGCTCACACATGTGCACATGCCACTTGCTTTTCATATTTAACATGTGCCTAAAATCATTTTCCAGTTTTTAAAATTACATAATATTCAATAAGAACAATAAATAAAGAAAAAATAATCTTGAAGTACCATGATGTGCAGAGGCGGTTGTTAATTCAAATGAGGCATTAACACAAGTAAGAAGGAGGTTTTACAAACTATTGGGAGTCACATACTGGACAAGCAGATGTGTGGCCAATAAAGCTGGAACAGGTGTGGATTTGATATTAGGTTGGCTGCCTGTTATTAGTGTTTTTTAGTTGATAGGCTTCCTTATGCCAGATTCCATTCTTCTTCACTCAACAGGATTCAAAGCTTGCATGAAAGGGATCACTCATGGCTAGTTCAAAACGAACATTTGTTGGGGTTAAGGAGGAGAATAGAGAGATCTTTGGTTGTTAAGTTTCTTATTCCACTTCCAAACATTCTCTTCTGCAATATGTTTCACTATAGTAAGAAGAACACTGGGCATTGTAACATTCGACATCTTTATTGGGAAAAGGTGACTGTGTAATATGTTAAACTATAAGTTGGTACTGTAACATTTGACATCTTTATGCATTTATTTAATTCTTTTTGTTTTTGAGTTGGTCTATGTCTCTATGACATCTAACATTGTAGCAGTAGCTGCACATTGTTCACTTGCTCCGAAGTGTGAATTTTTCCTATAACCATTGTAGATTATTAAACTAAGAAATTTCAATATTATTCCTTCCATTTGTCCATCTGTTTGAAATAGTGTGCAACCTTAGTAATGGCTTGGAGCCTTGCACTAATAGGAAAGATTGGTACCTTCCCATCCAGCCCAAATTGGCCTATTCCCTTTCTTTGAACTGCACGGTGTGCTAGAATACCAGATTTGGATCATCTTTTTCAAACCCACTGTTAATGTTGGCCTTCCTATTTCTTTTTCTTCTGACATTAGGATTGGGAATGCAATTGAATCCACTGGCCGTTTTCAAGGTCTTTTACCAAATGTCTTACTCCCTCCACTGGTACCTGTAATGCTGGCCAACCAAAGTGGTCTTTAGAACTCCAAAATTAGACCCCCCAAAGCTTTTGGAAAGGAATTAGAACAAAAGATTGGAGAATCATTTAAGTTTGAAAATTCCAAGTTTCTAACATCCTTGGATTTTGTTTTAGCAAAAGCAATCTGAGCCTTTATGAAACTACGCATGATTACGGATATGTTTCTAGCTAGGATTTTATAGTCTCTCAGTCTGGAAATCACCATCTTGAAAGAAGCAGTAGAAGTCAATGAGATCTTACACCTGACCTGTTTCATTTCCTCATGATTGGAGGATCTGTCTTTCCTTAAACTTGATAAACTTGATAAACTTTAGTATGAGGTGTTAAACCTGTAGTGAAATGTCATCCAGGAATTTTAAAATGATTGGTTCAATGGGAGAAACATGGTGTGGAAATACTTCGCTTCTATGTGCACTGCCTCAGTTGTATTTTCTTGTATTAACGTCCTCCAAATGTCATAATATTAAATGAAGATCTTTGAGTGAGAATATTCTATATGTGTGTCGCTTGATTGTGTGAGCACTATTTTTTTTTAACGTAGCCAAAGTAATGTTATTTCTTGTGAGATACTTATCACTTGATCTTGTAGAATTCTTGCGACTTGAAAGTCATTCTTCTTGATGCTGGATTTATAATATTGTTGAGAAAATGCAGGTGAATCCTGACTTGAACATGGAGTTGAAGCCCCATGCACAACCCCGACCTTACCAAGAGAAGAGTCTCAGCAAGATGTTTGGAAATGGTACATCCTATCATTTGCACTAGTCTTCTAACTATTATGTTCTGTTGGCTAAGAGCACAAGTAAGTATTTTTAAATATTGAGGAAGTTGTCAAACGTATGTTGATAACATGGAATGAGACAGAGGAAGTGAGAATATCGTACTGTTTCTCTCTTGGCAAAATGAAGTGCTTAGGATCACTTGATCCATTACTTACCGATCATTTTAGAACATGGGATGCCCCTGTTTGATTGCTTGCTCTTTCTTTTGTGTCATGCGGCTATCAGTCTCTCTCATATAATAATGCTCCATCCATTATTTTTCTTTATTTGTTAACTGGTATTGTATTTTCAATGTTTTTCTGATCTTAATATGAAAAGGGGTTTTGCTAGTAATATGGAAAAAACTTTTTATGATGATATAAGATTAATGTAGTTTCAAAAATTTAGTTTTTCTGATATTAATATGAAAAGGGGTTTTTGCTAGTAATATGGAAGGAACTTTTTATGATGATATAAGATTAATCTAGTTTTAAAAATTTAGTTCTATAGTTGTTTTGTTTGGAGTTCACTTTTGTGCAGGTTTTTATTTGTTTCATATTTTCATAAATTTGTCTTCAAATAGTTTTGAAGTTATGTATAAAGTTACATAATGCTACACGGTTACATTAATGGATAGTCCTAGGATATTATGCAGTAAGTATAAAACAATATACATATAAAAATGTAATATAAATAAATGTGCTATGGTAGATCAATGCTTGTGATGTTTGTTACGAATAATATGAATATGTTAACATTTCAATGTAGTATATATAAAAATATGCCATGTCCAAAATATTACGAAAATTATGTGCTTTATCATTACACTATGTACTACGTATGATAATATATGTATCACATAAGCTCACATAATAAGCTTTGTTACATATGGATCACTACTCCCTGGTTTGTATGCTTGTATCATGTCTTTGGTTTTGGGAGATGCTGAACGTATCCCCAATCCCCAATCTGTGCCCATCTCTATTGATATTGCTTCCATAATGAATGCCATGGAATTGCATGTTGACAGCTAGATACTGTTACTTCATTTCATGTATTGATGACAAGACCTTTCGAATGCTCCCACTAGTACCTTAATCACAAAGAGGCTATAGAGATGAAGGTAAACCCAAAAAAAAAAAAAGGAAAAGAAAACTAGCATTAGAAGCGAATACCAGAAGAAGTCGGATGAAGTTTGTTGTTATGAAATGTACTAGTTTTCAGTAGGCATAGCTCTCTGTATTGCTGCTTTTTCGCTTTCAAATGACAGTTGAAGCCTTTGGCCGGTCTAATCCAAGGATGAAAACCCAAGTTCTCATGAGTTAAAGGTATCTCTCTTGGATTAGGAGAGATGACTTCTTTAAAAAGAACTAGATGAGCTTGAACAAAAATGGAATACATGTCCATTAGAATGTCACTGATTTGCTAGACAGAAGGGCTGACAGACTTGTGAGAACCAGAATGTTGTTTTTGTTTCTTTACCCAAAAAAAAAGTTGTTTTAGTGGTAGTGGATTCTTACTTATAACAAGATTGTGGCTTATGATATTCTCTACTCTAGATGAGTATTTGTGTGGTTCTTGGGACTTGACATGATGTAATGTATCTTAGAGCTTTAGTGGATGCCAAAGTATGTCACTGTACTAGTGCGGATCAAATTTGTAAGAGTACCAATGTAGCAACTTGAGGAGAACTACGTTTATCAAATGTTATTTATGTGGACTGTGTATCCAATTTAGCCTTTCCTATAGATGTCTAGGAAACTAAGTTGCCTTTCACACTTGTACATGTTTATGTTGTTCAGAACATCAGATCCTTTTATTTTTCAGCTTGGTAGACGCAAATGCAATTATTCAATACTGAGCAAGATCTATTCATAGTTTTTGGAGGCGGTAGCGGCTGCGAGAGTGGAAACAGGAGATCGTTGCTTGCAACTTAGCTTGGAAGTTCCAACACAATCAATATATTTGAAATGGAGAAATCCAAAAAAGTGGAAAATTAATATATCAGAAAATGTATTTTTTTACTTAAAAATAAATACTTAAATAAACTTTTGGAGTAATCATCATCATCATCATCCTAGCCTTATCCCAATTATTTGGCATTGGCTACTTGAATCTTGTTCCGCCATTCTGCTCTATCAAGGTCCATACCCTTAGTCAGACCATAAGTCACCCTATCTCTTCTCATTACAGCGGGTCGCCTATAGGGAATGTCCTAGCTTGAGCGTGTAATATAGGTTCAGAATTCATGAAAAGATGTCGGAAAGTTTTACGTTAGCTTCCCGTCATAATACAATCCTCCTCTTTTATCCGGGCTTGGGACTGGCATGACCGGCTTAGGACCGGCCTTGGCGGAGTTAAAATTTTTGAGTAGTAATGATGCTATTTTGGTCAAATCATAGACAAGTCCAGCCCCTTTCTGCATATATCACTCTTCTTACTTTTCTAAAGTATGAAGTTTCAACTAAATATCTTTAGAAATAAAGAGAGCGGGAGATAGAGATCATTCTCTCTCTTGCATACAGTTTTGGGAAAGATGCAGGGTCAAAATCCTGTACCATTTGTGACAAAAGTTAGACCCACCAGCCCCTTACAAAATGCAATTGATTGACCAGATTTAAGAATCTCCTCTTTGAAAAAATTTATGGAACATGTTTTTGATAATTGTAGCTTTTTCTTTTTCTTTTCTTTTCTACTTTTTCTCTAGCATTTATTGCTTTCTTTTTTTGATATGTTTCTTGCTTTCTTTTTTGTTTTGACATGCTTGTATTGCTTTCTTCCTTTAAACTTATAAAGAATATGGGTGCATTGACTAACCCATATTGGATAGGGGTCATGGTTCCTGCGATATGGGATTTTTTTAGTTCTCTTAGGGGAATTGCCACCGTTGTTGGGAGATCTGGGTAACTAAGGTTCTGTTTTCGAGTAGAATGTATAGGAAGGTGTTTATCTTGAGGACTTTCACTCCCATCTCCATGTAGATTTCGCACTGAAACTATTGAAATCATTTTTGAAAGAATCGAGTTGAAAACAAGACCCTTCCCAATCATTAAAAGTCAAAAGCAGTTCATTACCACAGTTCAGTTGCCTAGATTTTGTCAGCTGATTTGAGTCCAATGGAATCAGATGTTTTTATGCGGAATCAGACTATTTCTCACATAGTTGTGATATTTTATTCTTCAGTTTCCTATGAAAAGACTTATCTTTGTGACATATTGCTCCCTGTGAACTCAGTGTGAGAATGATATTTTGTAATAGTGTTCTTGTGTATTTTCTATTGCAGGTAGAGCTAGATCTGGCATTATTGTCCTCCCTTGTGGAGCAGGGAAATCTCTTGTTGGTGTTTCTGCAGCTTGTCGGATTAAAAAGAGCTGCCTCTGCTTGGCAACAAATGCTGTTTCCGTAGATCAGTGGGCATTTCAGTTTAAGCTTTGGTCTACTATTAGAGATGATCAAATTTGCCGTTTTACTTCTGATAGCAAGGAAACATTTCGTGGCAATGCTGGTGTGGTTGTGACAACTTATAACATGGTTGCTTTTGGTGGTAAACGTTCTGAAGAGTCAGAGAAAATTATCGAGGAAATTCGGAAAAGAGAGTGGGGTTTGCTTCTGATGGATGAGGTGATCTTTAGTTTTTTATGACTGCTTTTTCAAGTTGTCCTGTATAATGGCTACTAAACTCTAGACTACTGAGTTTCCTTGCGATCTTGTTCAGTTACTGACATCGTGCACACATATACGCAATTTATCGATTGATGCTGACATCATGTATTTGATTATCTTTTGGGAGAGAATATTTGACTATTATAACTTGTAAACCATGTACTGAACTATATAAATCATACAACTGATTATTTTTTATTGTCTCTTGTTGTCCCTGCACTGGCATTACAGGTGCATGTGGTTCCAGCACATATGTTTCGTAAGGTCTTAAGCATCACCAAATCGCACTGTAAACTTGGGCTCACTGGTTTGTATCATTTTTTATTTTTTAAAACTGCTTTGCTCATTTTCTGGAGGTTGCTGTTTACAAATTCGTGCTAAAATGAGATTTTTCAATATTGTAGCCACACTGGTGAGAGAGGATGAACGTATCACAGATTTGAACTTCCTTATTGGTCCCAAACTATATGAAGCAAACTGGTTGGATTTGGTCAAAGGAGGATTTATTGCTAATGTGCAGTGTGCTGAGGTTTGGTGTCCAATGACAAAGGAATTCTTTGCAGAATATTTGAAGAAGGAAAATTCCAAAAAGAAACAGGTATTCTCTTTCCATAAAGAAGATCATGTACATTTCTAAATTTTTTGTTTTCATATGATTGATTTTTAACAGGGTGCGACACCGGTATGCTTCCGTGATTTGTAAAGCTACTGATTTTGCAGTTCTGAGCAGATACTAACCAGCTGCAACTTTGTCTGCCTTTGAAATTGAATTTCTTTGCTTGTCTTAAGTACCACTGAAATTTTAGATGCCTTCCATTTTTCTATTTACGGGTTGTTTCACTTGCTTTGCACTGGTGGAAGTCAAGGTCCTGGTATTTGATGCAAAAACGATGTAGTACGGTTTTATATTTTAATATGGTACTAGAGGGAGACTAAGGCTTTTAGGTTGGCTGATATGTTTGCTGCTACATGTTGCTTGGCTTCGTAACTATTCAGGTTTTCCTTAAGCAGTGGTATTCGTGTCTTTCTGTTATCAGTTGGAACCTGGCTTGTTTATTTTTTCGATAGAATCTAGTTTCTGCTACTGGTCTGAGATGAGAGCTTTTGGTCTATCTCAGCATATTTGTCAACGTCTGAAAAATATGATTGTCCTATGTGGCACAATTTGGTTGAATTTGCACCATGGAATTCAATTTTGTCTCTAATGTATAAATGTACCTTATCGGTCGTCACTTCTTTAGAGAAGGCATGGTTATTGGTGAAATTGGATGAACTTGTTAGGATGTGTTATACTTTAATGAATATTTGTTGACACCCATGAGTTTGCGATTGCAAAAGGCATTCTATAGTGGTCATAGAGGAGGTCTCAGTATTTTTATGGCATTTATGCAATTCTAGTTCTCAAACTTGTTAATTAGGTTCATGGAATCAGGTTTTGACCCACGTCTGATCCTCTGAGATGGTATTGTGCAAAGTCTTTGTGCAGTGCTGATTAGTTGTTAGACAGTTAAAAAGCATGCTGATCAATGATTCGAATAATATGGGCATAATCGACCTCTTTGAGCATTTGTGCTATAATTGAGTTAAGCTTGCACTAATTCTTGTCGTTAAAGAATAATCTGTTTGATCATCCTCACGTTAAGAAAAACATGGTCTGATTATCTGAAATGGTCTTATGTGAAGTCTTTGTGAAGTGCTGATTATTGATTAGAAAGTTAACCATAAAAAAAACCATGCTGATATAATCTACATGATCCAATAACATCGATATAATCTACATTTTTGAGCATTTGTGCAACAATTCAATTAAGCTTGCACTTACTGTTGTCGTTAAAGAATAATCTCTGTGATTGTCCTTACATTAAGGAAAACATGGTTATAGTTGAAGTTTGAATGAGCTTGTTAGGGTGGGTATTTAGATTCTTCATATTTTTTTTCTTTTAAATACACGACCATGACATCATTGTGTTGAGCCTAGGCAAACATCCATAAACAAGTGAGTTTAAATACAAGTCATCTGCCTAATCACTATAGTTTTCAAGATAATCTTGGATTTGTAATTGGCTATGTGAGAGAAACAATTTGGATTGTTTCTTAGTAGATAAGAAGTATTTCATTTGGTAACGATGTATACTTGGTGCTGAAATTTTTCTCCTTATTTGCAGTTAATTTAATTCTAAGGTGATATCAAACTAAACCCACATCAAACCTACCAATTCATTGGGTCCTAGTGGGATGCTTTTCCCTTTGATTCCAAACACTGGAGTCTGCTTGTAGTAGACAACTTTCTGGACCAGTCGAACCATAGCAGTCATTCCCAAAGCAAAACATTCTCTTCTTGCATCATTTTAAAAATATTTGGAATATTTTAGATTCCTACTTTGAGCTTTATTCTTTATCTTCTGACTTGGCCTCCATGACGTTTTCTGAAGAAATGTCACTCTGGATAGATATGCTTTCAACAAGCAGAACCCAGTTTTGTGTTTTTACTGAAAAGACGGCTATTTTTTAACAATATTTCTTTCCCAATCAGTAACTAATCTAAAAACTCTAAACAATGGCTGTCCGATCGCGGTCCTTGCTGTAATCTTCTCCAAATAGGAACCAAAGGATGACAAAAATCTCAACTTGGGTATCTAGAGAATGGGAGACAATATAGATGTGAAGCACCAAGCTAGAAGACACCTTTGGGTCACTTATGGGCCAGCAAAGAGAGAGGCTAGGGCTAGGATGTGTGCAGCATGGAGAGAGAGAAAGAGTGTGGCATGGATGTCTAGGGAGAAAAAAGAGAGAGACAGGCTATCTCAGTTGTGTGTTCGAAGGATAGGAGAAGATCCCTATTTATAGAAGTGCTAGGGCTAGGGTTTTGCCATCTTTAGGAAGGAGCAATCTGGATCGTTGATCTGCGATGATCAATGGGTCGCATAGAAGCTTTTAATAGTAGCCATCCATTCCCTAAATTAGGCATCGTAATGTAACAAGGATCTAGTGCTCTTATCTTAGTTTCCTTGGAAAATCCAGCAAATAATAATTTTTTTAGAACACTTTTTAAATGTTATAAAGAAATTTTGCTTCCGAACAAACTTGCCCCAAAATTATTCTCTCCTAAATATTCCATCCACCTTTTGGAACCATCTCCTCTTACCAAATTTAATTGAAGAGGAATATAAGGCTTCCTTGAATGGGACATCCCATATCCTCTTTCTAAAATCTTCTCCCAAAATCCATTACTCTTACCCACCAAGTTAGCCTAGGAGAGAGAGTAAGATGTATGGAGAGTAAGGAGGGGGAGGGCCCCATGTTCCAAGTAAAGGGAAAATGGTTCCACATGTGGGTCCTGGTAATTGGGTCCCATGTGACATGTGTATGGCCCCTTTCCTTCCCAAAAAAATTATTTGCACTAAATTTTTAGCAAAATGATTTTTTATACATGTTGATAAAATAAAAATATTCATTTTATGAAAAGCAAATTTCTAAATTAAAAATAAAATTAATAAAAAAATAATTGGTACCATGGGTGTAGGGCTGTTAACGTGTGCCCCCTTAAAGCAAGTCATGTCTTGGTGGACATGTGCATTCCTACCATTTTGGTGCAAGGGTTCCTTGCTTCAGCATATGTACACGTTGATCCCTTCGATCATTTTCAATATATGTGGCTATCATATGGTCTTGGGGTATTTATTTCGAGGATTTGGCCCTTGCACTTATAGACCTCTCACTGGAGTATGATATCATTATAATATCATTCATTACAGGCTCTGAAGCCCTTTAAAGGCCACATAATCCCAACAGTTCCTTCCTCAATTGTGCATCCAATAGTCGTAAGAGATGGAGAATGTTCTTACTTTTTGTCAGTCTTCACATAGCAAATGAGATGATTGATGTTCCATGACAGTTCGGTTTTTTATTTTTTTAGCATGGATATTTTCTACCTTTTATCATCAAGAGGAAAGCACGCAGTGAGTCATGGATATGAATATCCAACCTAGGGGCTCAAGACAATGATTATTTTGGTCTTTACCATATTCAAGGTAAACTCTTGAGCATTAGCCTAATGTGCCCTTGGATTTGGTTGTGAGGATTGCCAAACTTTGGCTATTAACTACATATCAACTATCTGTCTATATCTTATATCATAGTTACCAAAATCTCTCACCTAAGGTCGCGATATTCCCATTCGGATTCCTGATTCCGCAATTCTGACAAGGAATCTTCACGGATTATGTGAAATTGTTTTTAGGAATCTCGATTCCAACACTTATAGAATATCATTTCTGATATTTATTGATTCTCCATTATGCAATTGTTGAATCTCGATTCTACATTTGTCGAATCTGGATTCCGCATATACTCTCTCCATCAAATTAGAAACCAAACATAGGGTCATGAACTATAAAATAAACATTTAAAACCTAAGTGAAGCATCGAATCAGAAACTCGATTCTAAATTTATCGTAATTTCAATTCCATGTATTAAAGAATCTCTATTCCATATTGATCGATGCCACTTAGGTCAGAAACTCAATTCCAAAGAGGACAGAATCTTGATTTCATATATGTAGGGATCTCGATTCCACTTGGTTTGAATCTCGATTCCTATAAAGTAGGAATCTCGTTTCCCGCCATTCCCCCTTGTACGGACGTTGATTCCAAAAGCAGGAACCTTCTAGCTAGACATGATTCCACAATTGTCAATTCGTGAAACGATTTGGAATCTCAGGTGTTTCCCACAACTATGTATTAGATAAAATGGATGTGATGTTCCAATTTCTAATAATATCTATACTGAAAATGTTACAACTATTGGCAGTGGAATAGCAATTCAGTGACATTGGTGTTTTTTGGTCTGGATTTGCATGGTATAGGAGATCCTTTTCCATCCCTTCTAGATCTTGTTCCTTAACATGGTATACCTCTTTTCACCTGATGAAAGTTTTTCTTGTGCTTGGTTATTCTTATGTCGTTTAATTATTTGTTGCTGTTCCAGGCATTGTATGTGATGAATCCCAACAAATTTAGAGCATGTGAATTTCTGATTCGTTTCCATGAGCAACAGCGTGGAGATAAAATAATTGTTTTTGCTGACAATTTGTTTGCATTAACTGAGTACGCGATGAAGCTTCGTAAACCCATGATCTATGGTGCTACCAGGTTAACTCAGGGCTACAGGGGCTTTTGTTTGAAGTAACTACTAGTGCTGTATTTTTTGAGTGTTTGCAGTGGTAAGAAATGTGTTTGCTTTTTCTTTTTCATCAGCCACACAGAAAGGACAAGAATTCTTTCAGCATTTAAAAGCAGTCCAGATGTTAACACTGTTTTCCTGTCAAAGGTAAGGTCTTTGTGTTTATTTGTAACTGTAACTTTTTTTATCAGGCATTCTTATTATCTTTTGCATTTACTGACAATCCAGATCTTAACACGTTTTTCCTGTCACATGTATGGGTTGTGTTTTTTTTTTCTACTTTTTGTGGTCAGAATTTCTCTTTATTTATCTCTTGAATGCTATGTCCTCATTGAAATATGAATGAGAAACTGATTTGCCCTTGAAACCCCATGTTGGATCTTTTACCTGAGTCCTAGACCTAATTTCCCTGCTAAATATGTATTGAACACTGACTGATAGTGCTTTTCTCCTGTACTTTCAAAGAATTGTACTAGCAAACTAGTTAGGACAGCGAGCAACTAGCAGATATGTGACTTTGTAGTGACTTTTTTTTGCACTCTTATCTTTCCAATTGTTTCAGGACTTGGTAATGTAAAGTTACATAGGCAAAATCATCTTGAAGTTGCGAACTGTTGATTTAATAGCAGTTCATTTATGGTGATATTCCTGGTTTGTACTACTTAGATTCATTTTCTGAAAGAATCCGATTTATGTGTTTAGGGAATGTGTATGCGCATGATTTATGTTAAGGAAAGACCAATTTCTGTTGAGGCAGAAACAACTGTGTTGAAAAAGTCTATAAAAAATTCCAAAAGCAAAAAGTTCTCTCTTAAGCCTTTCTGAAAGTTATTATTATATGAATATTCATTTTTCTTTGCAAGTGAGAAAATGCCTGCCGTGGGCAATTTGGTCTTTCACTCCCCTTTAAGATAGGGGTGGGGGGAGGGGGAAAGACATCGGGGGTGTTATTCCAAACACTAGATTGCTTAATAACTCCATTTTTGGTGAGAAAAACATAAAAAATAAAATCATATTTTTTAACTCTTTTTAAGATACACAAAGCTATGAACTTGGAGAAATCATTTCAAATCCACTATTTTTTGGATTGGATTCATTGTGAAATATTAAGACATGTTTAAATCGGAGATTTTAGGAGATCAAAGGGTCGATATTCATCCAAAACATCGAGGATCGGAGATCGGGCAACAAAAGTTAGTCCTTTTGTTAAATTACACGTAGACACATACTTCAATATTATTACATGCACTGTACGTACTTAATGTTATATGAATTATTGGATGCATTATAGTAATTAGTTCTACATGCATTAGTATATTATGTATACATGTATACATATATGTAAGCCTAGGGCACCTCAAAACTGAGGCGCTGGCCTAAATGTTTGCAATGCACCTTGATGGTCTGCGCCGCTGTTTGTCGAGCTGCTGATCAATGCTTTGATTACATTTCCTCATCATACCCAGATTTCCTTGCTATCTCTTCCTTGACAAACTCCATTGCTTGTGAAACGACCCACCCGTAGGTGTATCTTCTCACTATCCACCAAGCGGAACACTTGGAAGGTTCAAATTCGAATACTTGGAGCTAGTAGACTGCCCCATTTCCAAAATCGAGGGTGCAAAACAACAGCGACATCCGCTTCTCTTTTGTATGTTTGGCCAACATTCTATTGGTCCATTGTTCCGAAACAAACATGACCCTGAACTTGCCTTTCTAGGCCCCGATAAACTGAAGTGTCAGGTAGAAAGTGGCAAACCTCGTCACTCTCTAGCCTCACCAATTCCTCTTCGCTGTGAACTTCCTCTTCATGGCAAGGACTTGTGTTTTCTGATGTATGCAAACAGTGAAGACCTTTGCTTTCTTTGTTGTCCTGCAATTTTCTAACTTACTAATCGCCTTAGGGATGAGGTCAATACAATGCGCCATATAGGCTGTCCAACAAGTATGCGGCCTCTTCTCCTTTTGTACTGTGGCAGCTGCCATATTGGCTATCGTCGTGCCTTTGACCACCCGAATGATAGGTTGCTCCCCTACCTCCTCTACACAGGTCCGCTATGCTGAAAATGGACACTGCATTGTATGTTTCTATTAATGCATCAACGACTTCAAATATATTTTACCTGTTAGACATTTCATCAGAATGTTCATAATACTTTTCTCCTCCTATTGATCCATGAATCAATCATCATGGTGACCTTGTGATAAAGGACAAAAGTATTGCTATTTCAAATTTTTGTTTAAATATAAAGGACTTACATTTGAATTTTAATTTTTTTTTTTTGAGGAAAGGTTAACTTGTATTAATATTGTAAGAGATTACAAAAATAGAGTTCTGAAGTCACCCACAGCTGGGGACTCGGTAAAAAATCATATGACCAGATTTGTACAGTGGCTTATAACAATGCCCGGTAGCTGGGTTTTACAGTGTAGTTAAAAAACAGGAAAGAGGACTTATAGATCGCCCTTGTACAAAGATATACAAAAAGCTTTCAAAAAAACTCCTGTGCTAAAATGAGACTGCTGTGCAAAAAATCAGGCTGAGACGTGGAGGTTGTATGCCCCTAGTCCTGCGTCAAAAAAGGTGGACCCAGGTTGCACTTCTTGTCCCTTCCTTCTAGCTTCCTCTTGCGCCAGCCGATCTGCGGTGTCGTTGGACGTCCTCCAAGTATGCATCCTGGAGACGTCCATAGCCTTGCAAATGTTATGTATCTCATCAAATATAGGAATAAAGTACCACGGTGGAGGGCTAGGATAGCTAGCCCAGGAGAGGACATTCTTAGAGTCCCCTTCCACAATGAGGTGTGGGCCCCACACCGGGTTGTAGTTTTTTAGAGGATGCAAAAGGGCCAAACTTTAATATTAGGCTTTACCTTTAGGTTTTTTAGGTTTTTTGGGGATTCTAGGGTTTTTCAAATTTATAGGATTTTAGGAATCGTTTAGAAAAGTAGTTCTTATGGAATATTTTGTTTTATTAGGGTTAAAAATGTCATTACAAATTTATTTTAACTAGGACTTCTGTTCAATTACAATTAGGATTTCGTGGTCTCTTAGTAAGGTCTTACGTTATAAATAGTGGTCTATGTAGAAAATTTAAAGTCGAGGGTTGAGTTTTGAGAAGTTATTTGTGATTTAACCAGTCCAGAGCCATAGAAACCTGACTTGTAGGCTTCCTCTCTAATTTTTAAATCAATAGATTATTTGATTTTCTTCCTTGTAAATTGTTTTTTGCATCAATTGGTATTAGAGCAAAGGATTTGTGATAAGCAAGGGCGGAAATTTTTTATCAAGCCTAGAACTTGCCGATTTCAGCCTAGGGTTTGCTGATTTTCTGCACAGGGTTTGTGACTTCAACGAATCCATGGTAGCAATTAGGGACGTGGAAGAGGAGCTCTTATACATCCTACCCTAAAATGCCAAAGATAAAGAGATTGAAATCTCATAAGGCAGGTTTATCAGCTTGCATAACAACTCACTCACTTTTAGGTAAGATGGTGATCTTTCTGCCCTAGAAGATGTCAACTATAATCCCTTTCACTGCCGTGCTATGCGTGAGGAGTTGAGTCAAGAGGAAAGTGATAGAAGATCTAGACCAGGGGGGGGGGGTTGGGGGGGGCGGGTGGGTAATCACTCTAGGGTTTTCGATTTGAAGGTGGACATTCTTGATTTTAATGAGCATAAATTGACTCACAGCCAAAGGTAATCTTGTTGCTTGTGAGTGTAATTTGGTTCGTGATATTGAGGAGACCGATCATAGAGAATCTTTATTTTCATCAAGTTGTTTCCAAAATCAGCATGCTGTAGATTGATATTTGCCACCAATCTTTGACACATGTTCAGATGGAGATTAGATCTTGTTGGAGCTGATCTCCAATGAGGAACAAGATTTTGTCGATGAAAAGGATGAAAGGCTCCAAGTAGAACCAATAGGTGAAGTTGTTGGTTCGGCCATCCAAACTAGTGCTCATCTCGAACATGCACCCTTGATTTGTTCTAGGCAGAACCAAATCAATATCGACAGGTTTAAGTGACTAAATTGAAGGAAATCCAAAAAGCTTATGTAGCTGAACAAACTCTATCATCATAAAGTGACCCTCTCCTCGAGGTGTTCTCGAAAGTTTTTATGTGCGTGTCAATGATTTCAATGCCCCAACCTCACTGCATAATTATTTGTATTGATTGGGCTAACGGCCCACAGGTCCAACGATTCGAAGCATAATTTTCTGATTGATGAAGGTTGTAGGACTAATGCAAAACTCATCTTAGCCTACTTCAAAACTCGATGTATGAGTTTTCTCCAACTAGGGGAGTCTAATACAAGAGAAAACTATTCTTAGTCTTAATTTTTGTTTGATTTAAAGGATGTATATTTTAATTTTAATTATGGCGTATTTTTAGGGTTTTTAAATTATTTTAGGCATTCTAGGATTTTTGTGTTTAGGATTTTTGGAGTTGTTTAAAAATGTAGATTGCTTATGGAATATTTTATTTTATTAGATGTAAATATATCACTCTAGGGTTTTCGATTTGAAGGTGGACATTCTTGATTTTAATGAGCATAAATTGACTCACAACCAAAGGTAATCTTGTTGCTTGTGAGTGTAATTTGGTTCGTGATATTGAGGAGACCGATCATAGAGAATCTTTATTTTCATCAAGTTGTTTCCAAAATCAGCATGCTGTAGATTGATATTTGCTACCAATCTCCGACACATGCTCAGATGGAGATTAGATCTTGTTGGAGCTGATCTACAATGAGGAACAAGATTTTGTCGATGAAAAGGATGAAAGGCTCCAAGTAGAACCAATAGGTGAAGTTGTTGGTTCGGCCATCCAAACTAGTGTTCATCTCGAACATGCACCCTTGATTTGTTCTAGGCAGAACCAAATCAATATCGACAGGTTTAAGTGACTAAATTGAAGGAAATCCAAAAAGCTTATGTAGCTGAACAAACTGTGTCATCATAAACTGACCCTCTCCTCAAGGTGTTCTCGAAAGTTTTTATGTGCGTGTCAATGATTTCAATGCCCCAACCTCAATGCATAATTATTTCTATTGATTGGGCTAACGGCTCACAGGTCCAACGATTCGAAGCATAATTTTCTGATTGATGAAGGTTGTGGGACTAATGCAAAACTCATCTTAGCCTACTTCAAAACTCGATGTATGAGTTTTCTCCAACTAGGGGAGTCTAATACAGGAGAAAACTATTCTTAGTCTTAATTTTTGTTTGATTTAAAGGATGTATATTTTAATTTTAATTATGGCGTATTTTTAGGGTTTTTAAGTTATTTTAGGCATTCTAGGATTTTTTGTGTTTAGGATTTTTGGAGTTGTTTAAAAATGTAGATTGCTTATGGAATATTTTATTTTATTAGATGCAAATATGTCATTGCAAGTTTTATTTCAATTAAGACTTCAAGATTAGGATTTCTTTGTCTCTAAGCATAAGGGTCTATGTAGAGAATTTGTAATAGATAATTGAGTTTTGAGAAGCTACTTCTAGTTTAACTAGTGTAGGCCTGTAGGCTTCCTCTTTAATATTCCAATCAATATATTATTTGGTTTTCTCCCTTGCGACTTTTTCTTTGCTTCACCCTGTGCTTCACCCTTGCATCCGTATGTCTTTAGATACTCATTTGTGAGCTTCACCCCCTCCTTAAGCAAGGGCTCTCTGAACTCGTAAGGTGGAGGGCCTCTTAACTCAAGTTACTGTTGCTTCCAAGATGCCTTGAAAGCTCTTCAAGCAAGCGAGAATGAAATAAATGCGATCCATTGGTCTATTTATTGGTATACCCAATCCTTATCCTCCTTGGATGATTCTCTGTAGCAGTCCGCTTCTTGTCTCTCATCAACCTTGGGATCAACGATAACATAACAATCCATATGCCCCCTTTGTGTGAAGTTTCTTCTGTCCAAACCCCCTCTTGCGGTCTTGCCTACTGACTCAAGTTGAACCCACCATAGGATCTGCATATTCACCACTATAGTTGTCATCTTCTTTCTCCCCAAACACATACACTGACCTGACAGCTCCTCATATTTTTTCTTCTTGTCTTCCTTTAGTCCACATCCAAATGGGCCAACGTGTACCTCCTAACATCGATCACTACAATCTTGCATGTGGCTGCATCACCTTTAAATCCATCGAAATGTTTCTTTACTCAATGTATGTTGACTATTTAACTATTTGGCACAAATTTTATTGCTCCCTTATTGTTTGCATTAGGATATTTTCAACCCCGATGAGCTTGTTTATTTGAACTAGCAGATGACATTGTCGCCTGCCTATCAAAAGAAGTAAACTAATCCCCAAATCTGAAAAATCATAAATCCAAAAGTCAATCATGAATACATGATAGATGCAATAAATTGAAACGCAACCTTGAAAAAATTCAACAAATCAAAACCCCTAGTTGAATTTATTTTTTTCACAAGTTTGTGACTTTTAGTCTAATTTTGGGGTAACCGTTTTAAATTTGTGAGCAGCTTCAGGTCTAATTTTGGGTTAACCATAAGTTTGTGGCTTTTGGTGTTCTTGGGTCAGGTCTTGTTCCGCCCCTACTGCGCTAGGTGGCTTTTTACTTTGTCGTGTTCTTCTTTTCTTTTGGTCACCAGTCTCGGTGACATTTTGTGTTCTTGCCAGTTGGCCCCTTTTTTAATCTCTCTTTTCCATCAATACAATGTTAACAACATCAAAAATAAAAAAATAAAAAAAAAATCACAAGAGCAAACCCAAACTTGAAAAGAAAGTCACAAAACTAAAACTCATTATTGAATAAAGTCAGCAAACCCAAACCAAAGCTCAAAACAATACACAAAACCAAAGTCCAATATTGAAAAAGTCATCAAGGAACTGAAACTCATACAAAAATAAATGTACAAAAATGTCAAAAACTGAAATATGAAACTACAAAAAAAAGAAGAAAAAAAAGAAACTTAAAACCAAAGCCCAATATTGAAAAAATGGCTAAACTGAAACCTTATCTTGAAAAAAGTCATCAAGAAGCTTAAACTCATTCTAGAAAATATTTACTGAACCCAAAGGTGCAAAATTGAAATTCGAAGCTAGGAAAAATCATGAAAACTAAAACCCAATCCAAAAGCAATGTCAAAAATCCCATACCCAAGCCCACTCTTGAAAATGCCAAAAAACCCAAACCTTAACTTGGAAAAGTAAACACAAAACCAAAACCCAATATTAAAAAAAGAACAAAAAAATCATCTGACATTGAAAAGTATGAACATCCACAAACCCATGATTAAAATGAAGAAAACTAATCACAGATGGCTGGAATTGATGAGCTTTGATCTAAAAAATACATTCTCTAAAATCTAGTTGAGTCTCACATTCAATCGGTTTTTATTTTGCAAGTTAATGAGAGAAGCCGACGTAATTTTAATCTCGGAAAAATTTCAAATCTTGTCTTTGATGGGGTTTTCTTTAAACATCCAACACACCCCACCCCCCATCCCAATGCAAAAGAAAACAAAAAAACCAAAAAAAAACCCAACCCCTCAAATCATCGTCATTATCATCATAGCCGTTTCCCAATTAATTGGGACCCAACCCCTCAAATAATTTTCTTAAACAAAAGTAATTTCTTTGGGGAGAATGACTTTTTCTGTCCTCCCCTAAGGGACCTATTTCTACCCTCGTGCAGCCTGTCAGGGGCACCCATCTTGGGCTCCTAGAGAGGCCCTACACAGGATAGCCTATTTCATGAAGGCAGGGTACCTGTGGCCTCAGCCAGCTTCATGGTGTCCCTTAGGGCCAAGATGGGCTGACTTTTAAGTCACTGAAACCCCCTATGTACTAGTATGTATGGACCCATTATGACTAATAAACAGATAATGCATGAATAATTACACTAGAGCTTTTGGCACATTATGCGATGCCACATAGGCACATACTATATACATGTCTCAACCCTTGGTGAAAAATCTTGTGTAGTAACCTATGCAAGTTCTTGGTGTCTTTGATAGTACTTTGTTTTCTTGCTCTTGATTATTAAATTTGGTTTCCTCGCCAGTAGATTAATCCTTCAGTCAATGTAATGCATTAAAAAGTCCCTTAATACGGTTATAACAGGCAAAAGCTTATCATTATAACTGAAAATAAAGATAAATAAAAATTAAAAATAAGCTTGTATTGGACATTGCTTGGAAAATATTGCATATAATGTTATTATATTCTTTTATTAAGGAAAAATATTTTATGGTACCATTATACCATACTATATGTTTGTTCTCGTGGTGGCCAAAGCAGCATTTTAGGGGATTTTTGTTTGGCCCAAAACTCTGCAACTGTTTTGTTCATCTTTAAAAATCATTTCTTTCTTAAAAGACAATCGATTTTGGCATTCAAAAAATTCTCCAAATTGATTCCCCTGCAAGAGCAATTCTTGACTGGCCATTTGATGGATGATCGGGTATAAAAACTCAATTTTTTCTTTCTTGGTTTCTTATTTTCATTTTGGAGGGTTGGGGATTTGGTTTTAAAGAAGAAAAGGTTTTTTTTTATGTTGTTTTTGTTTGATTTTGGGAAAACCGGGGGGTGAGATGTGGATAGCGTTGGGGGAGGAGGGCCAATGTCCACATGGTGAATCAAAGATGAACTCCAAAATCTCAGGTCCAAATTCCCCAAACATGGTCTTCACTCCATGAGAACATATATGTTTTTGTCCCATGGGACTATGCTAACTGTACCCATTAACTAATCCTTATTTATTTTTAAACAATAATGGTGTTATAACTGATGGAAAGTCCCTTCTATTCTAGTAGATGTAATAGTTCCTTTATAGAAGTAACAGAAGTACTGGGTATTATAATGGGTATAGCATTTCAACATTTTAAACGTACTTAACTGGCCATTGCTTCGCAAAATTTATTCATAGCGGGCATTTTAAACTGTCTGTCTGTCATCATGGGCATTTTAAATAATATGCCAGTCACCATTACAATAACTAACTGCCAGGCCAGCTGCAGTTATAACAGCCATGACTTTCTACTTTTCTGATCCATGATTTGATCTAAGGACTGATTCAGAGTCCAAGGTTGTACTATTTCTTGGAGCTTCTCCATACAACATGATGGGAACTTGAGTTGCATCTATTTTGATGTATTGCGAGAATTATGAGTTAACTTTTCTACTAGGATATATCCAATTGGATACATGAACTTATTTTGTTTACCTGGATAAACTTGAAGTTCTCTCTACTCATTGGAATTTAAGATGTCGCCTAAAGTCCTTTAGGCGTGTCATGCCTCAGTATCTATGACAAGATCACACTTTTTTTTTCCCCAGTGGTACTTAAATTAGGTGGTTTCATAGTTTAAAGGTTTTTTCTTCTTGACAGGTCGGTGATAATTCAATTGATATTCCTGAGGCCAATGTGATTATACAGATCTCATCTCATGCTGGTTCTCGGCGGCAAGAAGCCCAACGTCTTGGTCGTATCCTCAGGGCAAAAGTACGTAATTTAATATTCCGAATTGTGGTTGAAGTACAACTTTTTTTTTCTGGGGATTGAGCAAATGAATATCAAGAGGGGTATGTGGGTGCTGAAATTGTACTCCCCTGCTTGAGCAAGTAGTTATCACTGATCTTTGATTTGTGAACGCAAGACTTGTTATCCTAATCCTGAGCATCTCACGGTTAGTTCTTCCAGTGTGTGTAAGTCACATGAGTTGGTTGGAGCAAACCTATGAGGAATTCATCATTTCTTTTCTTGGATCGAGTCCTGGATCAATTTGGGTTTACATGCTGTAATATCCTCATGTTTACACAACCATTACCTAACCCTGAAGTCAAGAAAAAGAATTAATCAGTTTATGGATATGCAATTGAGATGATATTTTAGTGGATATGTTATTACTTATCCAGCAGAGAGCATTCATTCCTGTTAATTTTCTAGAAAACTCATTTCTGGTTAGAAAAAAGAACTTAGAAACGAGCACTATACCTTAATGTGTGATGTATGAAAACAAGCATCTTTGTTCTATTATTATTGAATTGGTTTTTAGATTGGAAGTTTGATATAGCTTATGAAAATGATGCTATATTTTATTTGTCCCTTTATTATTGAATAGGGTTTTAGATTTGGAAGTTTAATATAGCTTATGAAATAATGCTATATTTTATTTGATAGTGCTGCTATTCACCAATTGGCATGCAAAGATAACAACAAACACCAAACTTCTTAATGCTTCCATTCATTAATTAGAAGATGTTTTTTTGAGGAAATTAACTAGAAGATGTTAAAGCAAAGAAGTAGAGCATATAATAAGACCATGTTTAAAAACAAGTTAGATTGGAACTGGTTTAGCACCGACTTAAGTGTACTAGATTTGACTTTACTGCGTCTCAAGAAAACCTTGCCTGGTCTTTACCCCAAAAAATAAATGATTGTAAATTAATAGATTCTCTAGAGGCTTTACAATACTTGGATGAGACTCAGTCATTCCTCGATGATTCTTTCTAACCACCGAATTGAACATACATGTGGGGTCCATTCATCCTTTCTCTTGGATATTTGGATGTTTCAACGTACATTCATAGTTCTAGTAACAAATTACATGTGCTTTTTTAGGAGGCATCTAAAAAAAATTCACAGAATCAACACTAGACATTCTGTAAATATCTTTGAGAAATGAGATAACTTTGTATATTTATCATAACACTTTGACATAGGTATTTCTTCGTCTAGCAGTGAAGAAGGTAAGAACAGCTGTTATCAAGAACTAGGTTGTGTGGAAGTGGCATTTTGCTTAGGGTAAACAGACCACACAAAGAAATATGTCCAAACTTTCTGCACACCATTGATGGGGATCGTGGCTCCAAGTTTGTTAAGTTGGTTGGATAGATGGAACAGGTTGGACATACCTGTGACCTACTGCAGTACATTTTTAAGCCCAAATCATTCTTTTATCGATCTTTAGTTTGAGGGGTAGTCCTTATTATTTTAGGTTCAGCCTATCTAATACCATGTTATGGGGTTTGGAATGAGCACTATACAGGCCTATATTTTCATTCGTCTTCATTTGTTTGTCTGAGTATACAGTATAATGGACTTGATAGTAAATGCACAATTACCATTAAGTAGAGAGAGAAATTCATGTGGTTTCCCAGAGTTGTATTTTGCACCTGTAAGAAGAAACACTTACTGTACAAATTCTCAATTTATGGGGACTATGTTATGATTGAGAAACTCTCAAACGCTGCTATGGTGTTCAAGTGAGGAAATGTGTTAGAAAGAAATGTATCATCGATTGAATTTGGGTTATTACATCTTGTATTCATGTTTAGCATGCATGAAATGACGAATATGATATTTCGTGGACAGCTATAAAACTATTTAAAAACTTCAAACATGTCTAAATGTTTATGAAAGATGAATAAACAGATCATACATATTGCATACAATTCACATGTCTTCTTAATCTGTCCAGAATGTGCCAGTGTTGTTAATCATTACCAGCTGGTATATCGAAAGCTACAGTTGATATGTTGTTGTGCCTTTTGTGATAATATCTGCAACTCACAACTTTGAACTGTATGAGCCATTTTACACTTTTTATGGACCAAGTGTATTGGTGATTTGATTGTGGTCATAGGGCCGACTTCAAGATAGAATGGCTGGGGGTAAAGAAGAATACAATGCTTTTTTCTATTCGTTGGTATCCACTGATACACAGGTACGATATACTCTATTTTTCTTTTCCCAGTTTTTTTATAACAAACTTATCTTTATGTTATTTGGGCATGTACTTATTCTTCTGGTGGTTGCAGGAGATGTATTACTCAACTAAAAGGCAACAATTCTTGATTGATCAAGGTTATAGCTTTAAGGTGCAGTCCCTGGCTTTTCCTGATTGAACTAAATAGAGTTGGGTCTCTGCTTAATCAGATTAGTAAGATGGTGAAAGTTTTTTCCATGAATAAACTTCGTGCCTGGCAAATACATTCTGATTATTTGTTCATTTTGAAAGCTCTTTTTCTTATATAGGAGATTTTTATGCTCATTCGTTGATTAATTTGAACCTTTGTTTTTGTTCTAAGTATGCCTTATTTTGCTCTGTATTCCATATAAGGCAAATGTATTCATTAGAATCTTTCATATAGAAAACTGTGGTTTGACTCCAAAGTGTGCTTCCAAAATATTAAAGTTTGTGAGAAAAAGCATGGTTTTGGTTTACTTTGCACCTTAAGGAGTCCAGAAATATCTGAACGTTGGTTAAATTGATTGGTATGTTTCTTTGATAGACTGCCAATGATTTGCAAAGAAACCAATTGTGGCATCTGTTTTCCTTTAGTCCTTCACAAGTCTGTCTTTAATGTAGGCTTAAAATTGAATATTTAGGAAATCTACTTTTGTTTGCAGAATTCCTACAAGTCAACTGATAGGATGTGGTTGTTAATGAGTGCTTGTTTTGCTATAAATAAGCAACGATATTGTGATGCTTCCTGTTTGTTATAAAATCTACAAAAAAGTAGTCAGAATCTTTCTCACAATTAGAAGAAACTTGAGTACTTGTTTTGTTATAATAAGCAACAATATTGTGATGCTTCCTATTTGTTATAAAGTCTACAAAAAAGTAATCGGAATCTTGCTCACAATTAGAAACTTCCAGGAATTATCTATCCACCCATTTATGCCCTACTCCTAGAGACTTTGCCAGGGAATTGGTGGTAACTAAAGTTGAAGCCATTTGAAATCCATTTGATACGTGAATTTATGATGTTACCTATTGAAGCAAACACCTATGCTTCGACACCCCTGTTTGTCTTACAACAAGCTTGCAGCATGTATGGATATAACCAAGGTTTAACAAATCGGTGATCCAGATCGAAACCGGCCGTTTCTGATCGGGAATTGGTTGGTCCAATCTAAATCCTGTAAAATATTGGGAATAGACTGGTTTCCCCCATAAACCGGCCAATTCCAAGTGGGCCCCACCGGTTATCGGACAGCCTGTTAGAGAATCGGTACGAACCGGCTCCACCTTTTTTGTTATTATTTTTTTGTCGTTGAACCGGCCTGTCCGATCGTTGAACCGGCAGATCTTGGATTTGCCGAACTGGACCAGAAATCCAGAGGGGCAATCCAGGTCACTGATGTGTTTTTTAAAACTTTGGATATATAGTTTGTGAAGGAGCAGAAGCTTTATTCTGTAAATGATTGTTGACATCATCATTCTTTGGAAAGTTCACCTGGTGCAGTAGGAATAAGCTTTTAATCAAGTTGGACAGCACTTTTAATAATATGGAAAATCACATTTTGAGTTCTAGAAATATGATAGATTCCAAACAAGGCTCCTGTGTGTTGGTTATCACAATTGCAAAAATAGATGTTATCTTACCTTGAACTATAGTTCGTGGAATCGTCCACCTTAGTAGCGATTCCAGTTCGGAATTGCGATTCTACATTTTTGTTAGGGAATCACTTCATATATTGATTCTTGGAAGTTAGGAATCACGATTCCACATTATTTTAATCTCGTTCCTGATGGATTTATAGCCTTTCAAGGCCTTAAAGCTAAGATTCTCTCGCTCTGGGGGCGTGAGTGAAAAGATGATCCTGGGTGTTTGATGCATTGGGGCCTCAGAATCAGTACTCCGAATACATGAGGCAATGAGAAATATCGATGAGAGAGAGGGAGATTACTTGTGGAAGTGTGAGGGTCATTTATGAGTCAGGGCTATATTTAGAGTATGCCTTGAGAGGACCTCTGTATATGAGCACCCCTATACCCTCAAGGGTGTACCTATAATCCACTGCGATCCGGGGATGTTGGGACCTTGATTGGGGTTACTTTGATGAAGTTGGATTATGTGTCCCTGTCAAAAACTGTGGAGCATGGATTTGTTGGGTCATTCAGAGATAAGTAAACCATCGTTCCGGACTTGCCCAGTGGAGTACTCCGATAGTTTGATTTTAGCCTAGAGAGCTCATTATTGTTCGATTTTATTATAATGAGAAATGAGCATTTGGGTGGAAAATAGTTTAGAGAATTTTTTTCAGAATTTTTCGTAGCAAGAAATGAAGATTGAAAATTTATTTGGTGCAAATTCCAAAGGACTACTAGTGGGGGGCCCCATGTGGCACCCAAGTGGCCATAGGACGTGGCACTCATGACCCTACCATCATGCTGACATCAGCATGATGTCAAATTCAACGGGGTGGTCCTCATTTAAAATATTGTGTTTTGTTCACTTAAGTTATAAGGTTTTAAATAAAATTGTATTTTGTAACTTAATTGTTTTACTTGTCCTATGGATTTTTACCACACATGTGTGTTGTTGGATCACATGAGCCTAGCGTTGAGGGCTAGCTATGATATTTTGATCTAATCCCTATGTATTTAATGGAAATACTCTCTTGATCCATCTTTTTAGGTGGCATGATCCTATTGATTAAGCCCATGTAAATCCTATGTGAATTCCATGAAATGACACATTGTAATTGGCTTATTTATGGGAATTATCCTAGTTTGAATAATTTCGAAAATAGATTTTCCAAATTACCATAAGGGCATTGCCCTTACCCTTTTGCTCTATAAAGGCTTATGGAGTATATTGGAATGAGCAAATGACATATGCAGAAACTTTTTAGAAGACGAGGAAAATATGGTAAAATGACTTGATCTAGGGTTTTACAGAATGATAATGGTGTGCAAATCACATCAAGATTACTGTGCAAATCACATTCATTGATCTTGATGGCTAGACATGGATGTGTGACTAGTATTATAGCTCTTTCATGTGCCATAGATGAATAGCATTAAGGGATTAATTTATTCATTCACATATCACATTCTCGCAACTCTTAACCCTTTTTTTTTTTTCTTTTTGGGTAATTTCACAACTCTAACCCTTGTTCACCCCCATTCTCTACACAACTTGAGAGAGAGAGAGAGAGAGAGAGAGTAGGCCTCTCTGCCCACTTTGACCTCTTCCCTCTTCCTCGGAGCTCCTTCCCTCTTTCCTTTGTGAAGCCATAACTAGGGTGGTGGATGCTATGTTCTAAAGTGTCTAATCCTCCATGATCAAAGGTAAGGATCTCCACCATTTTCCTTCCTATTTTGAGCCTTTCTTATACTTTGCTTGCTGTAAATCTTCAATTACAGTAATATCTTCATCATATTTTCTTGAGTATTTGTTGATCCTTCATTACCTTTTTGAATCGTGCATATATGCTACCTAATATGCATGGTCTAGTCCTTAGATCTATCCATTGGTCACCATTTTCTCCATGATTCATGCACTTGGTTTTTCCGAGATTTTTGAGCATCTCTTTTATAAAAATCAGTGAGTATTTCCATTTGAGTATCATTTGTTGGAGTATAGGTTTTGAGTAAAGTATTTGAGAAATTGCACCAATATACACTATTTCCTTGGTCATATTCATGTGCTCTATGTGAGCCATTTGGACTTTGGCTTTACCACACTGTTTTGTCCTTCAAAAGTTCATCAATCTCTCATTTTTTAGCATAGTCGAGCGGTAGATCAGTTAGCATAAGCTTTCCATTTGTGTGAGTGATGTTGGCCCTTGTGACTTGAGGCATCCAAGCTATCATCGATGAGAACAAAACTAAATCCCTAAAAGATTTGCTATGTGATCTGAGCACAAGGGGTTTGACCATTAGTTTTCCTTGCGTAAATTTGCACTCGTTTTGCTGTAAGTTTGAGTTTGTGAAAGTTTTATGCCATAAAGAATTGAGTATGATCTGTTTTTGTGATGTATATGTTGATGGGAAATTAGGTGTGCAATCCATGTGTAAGTCTACGTGAAAATTGATGTAGTTTGCATTTTCATGTGCAAAGTGTTCGAGTAAAGGACTTAGAGATCCACTGAATTGTAATTTTTGTTTTTCAAGTGTTATTTAAGTAATTGTGATTGTACTTTTGAGGGTGTAACTGAAGTGATATAGAGAATAGGGTTTTTTTGACGGCACTTAACTTGGAAATGGAATTAAAATTTTACAATTAACACATGCATATACAAGTGAAAATACTCTTTGCTCACTGTTACACCCTCAAAAGTACAACAATAATTAACCAAATATCATTTAAAAAATAAAAATTAAAACCTAATGGAATCTCCAAGTCATTTGCTTAAACACTTTATGCATGAAATTACAAATTATGTTACTTTACGCATAGACTTTCACATGGACTGCACACATAACTTTGTCATCAACAAATACATCACATCAACACATCATACTCAATTCTCACCGGCTTGAAACTTTTACAAACTCAAACTCACAGTAAAAAGAGTGAAAAGTATGCAAGGGAAGTCAATGATTAAACCCTTTGTGCCTAGATCACAAAACGAATCTTTTAGGGACTTAGTTTTGTTTCATGGATAACGGAGGACTCAAGTCACAAGGGCTTTCTCACTCACACAAATGGGAAGCTAATGGTCATTTATTCAAAAGGAGAGAAAAGATCCAACTTTTAAAGCATAAAACATTTGGTGAAGCCAAATAAAAACAGCTCATATAGAGCACATGAATGACCATGTAGTAATGTATTATAGGGCAATTTCTCAAACAATTTTCTCCAAAACCACACTTCAGCAAATGATACTCAAATGATCACAAAATACTAATTGATTCTCATGAATAGAGTGTTCAGAATCTTAAAAAAAAAAAAAAACAAGTTCTCAAAGCTTGAAGAAAATGTGGCTAATAGAATGATCCAAAGACTAGACAAGCTCAAAATAGGAAGGAAATGGTAGAGATGATTACCTTAAATCATGAGGACTAGGCACTTTGGACCACCATCGTCATGATGCTACACCAAAGGAAAGTGGAAGAAGCTTAATGGAGGAAAGGAAATAACTCAATAAGAGGGGTGTGTAGGTTGCTCTCTCTCTCTTTCTAAGATGGCTCACAAGTGTGTTGAGAATGGGGGTGAGTAAGGGTTTATATAGAGTTGTGGCAGTGAGAGATTAGTGAGTGAATGAATTTAAGCTCTCGGTGCTATTCATCTATGGCACATGAGAGGGCTACGATCCTAGCTACGTATTCATGCCTAGTCATCAAGATCAATAGATGTGATTTGCACACCATTTTCACTCTATAAAATTCTAGATGAAGCCATTTTACAAAATTGTCATTGTCCTATAAAAAGTTTCCTCATATGTCATTTACTCATTCAATAATTATCTATAAGACTTTACGAAAATATTAAAACACCACAGGAGTAGGAGCATGCCCTTATGGTAATTAGAAAAGATATTCTAACTAGGATAATATCTCATAGACAAGCCAATCACAATGCCATTTCATGGAATTCACATGGGCTTAGTCAATAGAATCAAGCCAATCTAAAAAGGTGGATCAAGGGATTTCCATTTAACATTGAGGGTTTAAATCATAATTTCATAATTACTTAACTTTGGGCATATGTGTTCCTTCTCACATGTGTGGCAAAAACTCTATGGGATAAATAAAACAACACATATTATAAAACATACTTGTATTAAAAACAAGTTAAAAAAAAAAACATGCTTGTATTAAAAACCTTATAACTTAAATGAATAATTCACCAAATTCCAACTAAGGACAAACCCCCTTGTTTTGATGTCATGCAGGGGTCAGCAGTAAGATTGGTCTATGGGGTGCCAAGTGGCCACCCTATGGCCACTTGGGTGTCATGTGGACAACCTCACTAGTCCTTAAGAATTTGCCCCAAACAATTTATAAAACCCTATTTTTTGGCTCTGAAAAATTTCATACAATTCTCAAAAGTTCTAAAAAATTCTCTGAATGATTCTCCATCAGATATACTCATTTTCTTATCATAATAAAATCAGACAATTAGTAAATGAGATCTCTAGGCTGAATCCAAGAATTGGAGTACTTCCCTTGGCTAGTCCAGAATTGCGGTCCACTTGTCTTGAAACGACCCAACGAGCCTATGCTCCACAGTCTATTGCAGGGACACATGATTCGGCTTCATCAATATCACCTCAATCAAGCTTTCCAACTCCCGGTTCACAGTGGATTACAGATGCAGTCCTAGGGACGTGGGAGTGCTCACATACAGGGGTCCTCTCAATCTACATGTGCCACTACCTGTTCTTAGTACATTAGAAGGGTGTCTTCTCGTGCAACTGTTAGTGCACATGCCATAGGGTAGTCTCGTGTCAGGGTATGGACTCAAGTCCCTTAAGTCATGACCATCCTACACAAGGCCATTACTAATGGAGATACTAAGGTTATATGTTCTCTTTTTGGTTCTCTTACCCTTGGCCAACACACTGCACATGAGGCATACTCTAGTTATAGCCCTAACTCAGAGGTGACCTTCACACCTCTTCAAGTAATCTGTCTCTCTCATCGATGTCTCTCATTGCGTCATGTACTTAGTGTATATGATTCTAGGCCCCAATGCGTCGAGGACCTAGGATCATCTTCTCTCGCTCACTCCCACTGAGCGAGAGAATTTAAGCTTTAAGACCTTGAAAGGTCATAAATCCAACAATAACAGTGAGCAGAGAGTGTTAGCACTTGTATGTACACGTGGTGAATATGAAATCCTTTATTTTATTCAGTGTTTGCAAAATCAAACTGGAACGGTTAACTAGACATGGGCCCGGAAGCGATTTAACGGGTCTAACCGGTAAACTGGCCGATGCAACTGCTCTAACCGGGCAAGTCTCAAACGATC